ATGAATGTAACTGCGTATTATTGCATCATAAGGAATGGTCTGAGTCAGTTTCAGAGAAAGCTAGGAAGACTTGTATGCAGAGTGAAGTGAGCAGAACCAATTTACACAACAACAGATTGATTCACTAACTGATAGATTAATCCTTTCCCCACTTTCCACCTCCCCTTTCTTGCTTTCTTTTTATTCTTGTCTGTATACTATTTCTTTGGTCAAAGAGGTTAGCAGAGAATCAGGATAGCACCATGGAAGCCAAGGGATCATAAATGTGTAAATTTCTAGCTGGAATGGCTCTTAGAAGTCATTTAGTTCAATTCTCTTTTTATAAGTGAGTAAACTGAGTCAGAGAGGTTAGATGCTTTCAATATCTTCTAAGGAAAAACTACCTTATCTTCCATGGGGGTAGAGGAGTTAGGATATTTTTGTTACCATTCTCTATCCCTTGATGGTAAGGTCCTTAAGTCTTAAAGTCTTTAAGATGACTTTTGGGCTCTTTCTGTTCAACCCTGACCTTGGGGATTCAAAATGCCAGATATAGGCTGTACTAAAGGAGAAACAGGAAAAGGAAAAGGAAAACAAAAATAGAAACAAAAGTGCCATCCAAGTTTCCCACTAAGCTTGGAGGATTTCCATGTAGCTACTTTGATGTGACCTCAGATTGGTAGAAGGGGAAGGGAAGAAAACAAGTATTTATTAAATGCTTACTATGTGCTAGGTATTGTACTAAGTACTAGATACACACAAAGAGGCAAAAGACAGTCCCTACCCTCAAGGAGCTCACAAGCCAATGATCCTCACAACAATCTCAAAAGGTAGGTGCTATTATTATTCCCATTTTGTAGATAAGGAAACTGAGGCAAATAGAGATTAAGTGACTTAACCATGGTCACGTAGCTAGTGTTTGAGGTTAGATTTGAACTCAGGTCTTCCTTGCTCCAGGCTGAACATGCTATCCATGGTACCACCTAACTAATGCAAGGTGGCATACTTGTGTAATAGTTAGAGTTGGCCTGAGAGCTTTTGGGAGAAGAAAGATTTTTATACTTCCAGAGGACATGTGAGGTGTCAGCTTCTCTTCAGGGTTAATTCTAGACAGGTGGGCAAGGGGTGAGGTATAGAGAAAGATATATACCAATATATGTATATGTATATATACATACATATAGAGAGAGACAGACAGACAGACAGAGAAGAGACAGAGACAGAGACAGAGAGACAGTCACTAAAGACAGACAGATAGACTTTGGAAGCTGCAGGCATGTATAGGAAATTAGCTCTTTAACATTTCCCTGATTTCTAACTTGCCTTACTAGAGACTTAAGGGAATTTTTTTTCTTGTGTGAGACTGGGGCCTCTCCTTTGGTTTGATCCAAGATATCTCATTCCCAGAGGGAGAGCTCATTCACTCCATTTTCTGGCATAATCTATATAACTCCTCTGATTTTTGTTTGCCATCAGCTTAGAAAAATGGATTTTTTTCACTCCTTATGATTTCCCAACCAAAATTTGGTAGGAAGGAGTTAAGTCTGTAGGTTTAAGCTTGGGATAATCCTTCCCCCTTTAAGGGGTAAAAACCAGCAAAGTGACTTTTTGTTTTGAACCAAAATTATGCACCTCGGGCAGCAATATTTAGAGGTATGTTAGCTATAATTCTATAATAACAACCTTTCTCAAAGACTGAAGAAAGAGTGTCTAGTCTCATGGCCCATCTCTTGCTCTTCTTAATGCAGGAATCATTGTCTCCTTTTATAGAAGGGTGAGTAAGATTCCATTACTATCTATCAATGCCTTCTCCATAACCTGGATTTAGAGAACTCATGAGGACATATCTGTCTTACACGGGCAGTACACATATGACAACAGCAAAAACAAAACAAAGAATGTTGCACCTCCCTGAAAGTGACTGAATATTCAACTTTTCATTTCAATTCAATAAACATTTACTAAGCACCTACTATTTGCCAGGCACTGTGCAAAGGACTGGGGATACAAAGAAGAAAAAGAAAGTCCTTGCCCTCAAGGAGCTTACAGTCTAATGGTGAAGACAATACACAAAAGGAATCTGAGAGCACGGTGTGTGTGTGTGTCTGTGTGTGTGTGTGTGTGTGTGTCTGTGTGTTTAAATGGAGTCCTAGGGGCTACCCAGAGTGGGGCATGAAGTTCCATGGAATTGAAACGAAGGAGAGCCTCTGATGTAAAATAGTTACCTGGAAAGTTCTGAACCCTCTAAAAAGGAAGGCTTTGGGAGGCATTTGTTACTCTACCACTCCAATTAGATAGGAGAGACAACTGAGGGAGTTAAGAGGATGTTAGTTTAAAAAACTGAAACAGATTGCATGGGGATGAGATTTCAGTTGATCCATTTATCCCCGGGGGAGGCATAATGTTCTGTGGAGTAGAAACCAAGCAGAGCTGCTGATGGGAGGTGGAGAATGTGGGAGCATGAAGACCAGAAATTCTAAGCTTTGCCACTCTTCTCCTCACTCCTACTTTGGAAGGACTGATTCCTGGATCTAAATGATCTGGTCTATATGCTGAGAAGGTTTTTTTTCATTTTGCAGTTCAAGAAGTCTTTGCAGTTCATAGTGGGCCTCTCAATGTAAAGAGATGAGGACATTGAGTAGCACCAGAAATATCAGGGTTACAGTGAAGATGTCAACACTTCTTGCATCATCAATGATGCTCATCACTGTCATGGTACCATGTGCCACACCCACTTAGTGTTTCCTGACCCACCAGCCAATTATACAATACTGTCCTACAAGCCTCTTGGGGGACAGCGAATTACAAAATTTTGCTGCATTAGAAGCCTCTGAGAGATTGCTTTCTTTCTTCTATGGAGATGGACACTTTTTCTATGGTTTGGTAGATACTTTCACCTCCCTCTTGTCTTCAGACAGCAAGGCACCTCACGACAATGATACCTCTTTGTCCTCCAACCCCTCCCAGGGGAAGGGCTGTACTGGCAGCAGTGCAGAGGAGGCAGATGGTAATTTAGTGGTGAGATTTGGCAAGCAATGAAAGCTTATTATAACAGAGGAAATATTCAAGAGCAGAATACAGTGTAAAATTGAAATGGCTAATAGTTTAAGATTGGAAAGGGAGGAAAGTGAAGTCAGAACAGATGTAATGACCTGAGAAACTACTGAAGAATGGAGGAAATATAAGTCTCGATGTGGGCAAAGAATACATTAGGAAAAGTAAGGCAGAAGGAGAGGTAGAATGGAAGGTGAGATGGGATGGATAGGAGGTTATGGTCAGAGCAACATTAAGAGTTTCTATCAAAGAAGTAGAACACTTGTGGGTAATATTGAGATCATGCGTGACTTACCTATTTGTGGTTGATATGGAGTGAAGAAGACGGTCATGGAATTGAAGGAAACTGAAATTAAGGAGTAAGAAGTGTTTTGAGGAGAGTGGGTCTGTGAGCTAGGTGGTTAAGGCGGTACTTCAGAATTGACTAGCTTTGTGACACTGCGCACATTACTTAACCGCAGTCTGTCCTAGTTTCCTCAACCATAAAATGGAGATAATAATAGCACCTGCCTCCCAGGATTGTTATGAGGCTCAAAGGAGATATTTGTAAAGTGCCAAGCACAGTGCTTGTCACACAATAGGTGACTAATAAATGCTTATTTTCTTCCTTCCATCCTTGATAAAGAAGGGAGAATGATCTGGAGGACAGCATATAACATCCACTATGATTTGGATTGTGTAGAAAAATTTGAGGATGTTCTTTTAGATTGGATTTTCAACTCTAGAATGAGGGGGTTCAGATAGATAAGGTATTTACTAAAATACTTTCCAACACTTAAAATCTATGCTTCTCCTACTTAAAAAAAAAAACAAAACCAAACACCTTTTTTGGTTTGCGTTTTCTTTTGCAACATGGCTAATATGGAAATGTGTTTTGCCTACCTTCATATGTATAATGAATATCATGTTGCTTACCTTCTCACTGGGTGGGGGAGGGGTGAGAGGGAGATAATGTGGAACTCAAAATTTAAAAAAAGAATATAAGTTTTTTTACATTTAATTGGTTAATATTAATGAAATAGATAAAATATATTTAAAAAATCAATGCTTCTACCATTTGATTAAGGGAAATAGCCCACAGAGGTAAGTCTGGTGATTTAGATAGACAATTCATACTAACTTTCTTTTCTTTCATTTTCTTTTGCAACACAGCTAACAAGGAAATGTTTTACATGACTTCACACGTATAATAGATATCATATTGCTTGCCTTCTTAATGGGAAGAGGAGGGAGAGAATTTGGAACTCAAAATTAAGAAAATGAATGTTAAAATTTTTTTCCAAAAAATGTAATTTTTTAAATATGTAATTGGGAAAACTTATACAAAATAAATACAAATATATATTTTTAAATCTATGTTTTTATGATTTGGTTAATGGAAATAGCTCAGAGAGGTAAGTCTGGATATATGTGTGTGTGTATATATCTATCTATCTATATATATATATTTTAAAAAAACCCAGATAGGCAATTTTACATATATATATATATATATATATATATATAAAACTACAGAGGGAGGCAAACAACAGAAACGCGCCAGGGGAGCCTCGGGGCCTGCCTGGGCTCCTCCCCCTACCGAGGGGAGGAGAACGGGGGCGTGGCCTGTTCCAGTCACTCCCCGGGAAGCCCAATCAGGCTCGCGCTTTCTCTTTCAGCAGAGCCAACCAGAGCAGGAGGAGGGCCCGGGGAGGAAGCGGTAGAGAGTGTGCCGGGGAGGGGGCTGTGGGATTTGGGACCCCCTGCTCCCGGTGAGTGATTCGCCGGCCGGCTGCCTTCGGAAAGTGGGGACGGGGGCGGGGCCTTTGGCGGGGAAGGCGGGGCAGGGGAGAGGCTTCGGAAGCCTCGTGGCTTCCCTCCACGCGTGCACCTGAGGCTTTTGAGTGGAAGGGGCGAGGGGGAGTTGGCGGGATGAAGCGCTAGCGGCAGAGGGGGCAGAGCCGGGGGCAGAGCCGGCGGCCTGGGGCATGCTGATCACGCTGTGCTACCTGTACCTGTGGGCGCGCTGGGGGGCGCGGCCCGCGCGCATCATCCGCAGCACGGTGCGCAGGCTGCACGGCACCCGCTGCTCCTTCACCTTCTGCCGCAGCGGCGGCGGGGGCAGCAAGCTGCAGCTGGAGGAGCCGGGGGCCCCAGGAGCGCCGGGAGCGCCGGGGGTCGCTGAGGACAGTGTCTGCCTAAGGATGGGAAACCGAGTCTTCTTCATTGACGAGACCCAGGTAGTTTCTTACTCTTTCCGTTGTGTGTTGTGGAATTGGGGGGGCGGGGGGCGGGGCTAGATGAGCACAGGTTGGCTTTGCTTGGCCTCCCATTATCAAGAATGGTATAGTGTCGGACCTGGGCTCAGAAAGGCTTAAGCTCGAATCCATCTATATTTCCCAACTGTGTGGTCATGAGCAACTCTTCGAGCCTCTGTTTCTTCATCTGTAAAATGGGGATGATACTACCTTTAGTACCTATCTCACAGGGTTGTTGTGAGGCACAAATTATGTGTAAAGCTTTTTCAAACTTATAAAATGATATAAGTGAGTTTTTATTATCGACTTGTGGGAGGGTGATAATGTAACATGACCTTTGACCGTATTTTCCCTAGCTTTTATATTTTATGTTTATGTGAATTATAGACACTTGCCACCACTGAAAATAAACTGCATTTGTTAGTGCTCTGGGTTTGTAAGGATGTGGAAATAGCATGTACTTGCACTCAGAAGACCCAGACTTTGTTATGTCATTTACTGGCCAGCTGTGTGACCTCGAAATGGTTGTAAAATTTTTTATACAGTTTATATGTTTCTTCAAAAGAAATTTTACTCTTGTTAGGCTTATGTCTGATACTATTTAGGGAGTGGAATTGGAAACAAACTGTTTTCATTTGATTAAGGATCAAGATTTGTGTAAAATGCTACGTGAAAAAGTTAGTGCTGAATAACAGAAAGAGCAGTGTGGCTCATTGGAAAGAACACTGAACACCCGAGGTCAAATGCCAACCTTTGTGACTTTGGATAAGTTACTTAATTTCTGAGAGCTTCAGTGTCCTTATCTATAAAATGAGAGGAGATGAACTAGATGATCTATGACTCTTTGAAATGGAAACCTCCTCTCAAACCTTCCTTCAGTGCCTCATTGTGTTATGGATGTGACTATGCTTTTTTAAAGTTATGTTAGTGGAGCGCAGGTTCTGGCCTTTTCTCTAGATCTGTACAAGCTTCATGCACGATCCTTGCAACATACAGTTGGAGCACAAGGCTAAACTAACATGGAAAAGCTCATCTCTAATTTGTTAGCTACTGGGTGGCAAATTCATTGACCATGATCTCTTGAAGTGAAGAAAGATACAAAATGACAGTCGGTCCTAAAGGATGCCCTTCTCTGTTATTTTTGATGACAGAAAAATGGGCCTGAAAGTACTTAAGAATTACACAGTTTTAAACCAAACTGAATGTTAATTTAACTGTTGGTATGCTAAATGTGAGTTAAACATGTGTGTGTGTGTGTGTGTGTGTGTGTATAGCTATCTATATATGTATAGTGACATTTTCATTGTAAATGAAACTGAATTGTTCAAAAAGTTGTAGTTAAATGCAAGGTTCCTATATTCTTTGTACCTACAGAAATAGAAGAGTTGGTAGAGTTGTTTTCATAGAGTCATAAGCAAGAAGATATGTAATTTTCTGGGACATTTGATAATCTTGCTTTGTACAAGTTATGATCAACAAAAACAAAAAGACAGTGGGGAAGACAATTGAGGCTTAATATATGAACATTTGTTGCACAGCATGGAAATAGAAATTCCCTGGGGAACTTACCGGATCTTTGAAAATAAATCATACATTGATTTTTGATGACTTTAATGCAGAAGTGGGAGGATAGGGGAAGATGGAACGTATCTGTAACAAACTGTTTTCATCATCCGTGACTGTGGAACCACCACATTTTGGGTTCTTAACATTGGAGAGCAGCAATGTGGTATAGTGGAAAGAATTTTGGATTTGGAGTCAGAAGTCCTTTGTTCAAATTCTAGCTCATTGGCCTCAGTTTCCTGATCTGTAAAATGAAAGAATTAGACTAGATGATATCTGAGGTTTCTTCTCAGTTCTGTGTCTATGATCTCAGGTCTGATGTCAGGTGCTCCATAAAAGGAAATAGAAATGACATTAAAGAAGGACAGAACAAATGGACCAGACCAGGCACACACAGAAGAAATCTATGTTATGACACAATTTGAAGAACATTAAGAGATCAATTTTCAAGTGTCTGCAAGAAAGGAAGATATTAAATGGGAAAAATCCAAATGGTCTTATTACCCATAAAGATCAATTGAGAGGATTTGTAATGCAATATCAAGTTACTTCTGCTTTAGCTAAATAGAAAAAATGTACTCATTATCAGAAATTTGTTGGATTTTTAGTGTGGAATCAATATCTTTGAACCAGATGGCTGAGTTAGTACTAATTGGGCTGATTTGGAGTACTTTTTTTCTTTGAATTCTTCTTAGTTTGGCTATTTGGTTAAAACTAACATAGTTAAAAACTAACATGGTCCTAACGGCAGCTAGGTGGTGCAGTAGAGTGCCAAGCCTAGAGTCAGGAAGACTCCTCCTGAGTTCAAATGTGACCTCAGACACTTACTAGCTGTGTGACCCTGGGCAAGTCACTTAATCCTGTTTGCCTCAGTTTCCTCATCTGTAAAATCAGCTGGAGAAGGAAATGGCAGATCACTCCAGTATCTTTGTCAAGAAAACTCCAAATGGGGTCACGAAGAATCAGACACAACTGAACAACACAACAGTTGACTCTAATGCTAATTTCATTTCAACATACATTACTAACCTGCTGTTTACTAGGTGCTACGAATATAATGAAAAATGACGGAGTCCTTGCCCATAAAAAGCTTACAGTAACAAATAAAAAGAGATATACCACAAATACAAATAAATATGACAGCCTAGACTGGGGTAGGCCAAGGAGAGTCAGGCACAATGCTATGAGAAGTTTGAGAAGGAAGCACTTCAAACTCATGTGTGCTGATTCCAAATGTAGTCTTTTTTTCTACCATATTACTTACCTTCCTGGCACAATTGGGCATAAAGCGTGTATTTATTTACATGATTTGGGTTGGGTTCTATATGTACATTTTTATGAATAATTGCTATGTTTCTTTAGTTTGTGAGTTTCCATCTTTTATGGCTGTTGGTCTTCAGTGACACATGTTTCTTATGCGTACTGATTAATATTTGTTGAAATATTAGAATTTCTTCAACATTTTGATTGCTTCATGGGGACAGCATCACTGTTCAGCTATAACTGTATGGATTGCAAAGATGAATCAAACACAGTTCCAGGGCTAAAGAACACATACCTACAAAAGGAGTTAGTACTTATACACAAGTAAGTAATAGAAGGTAGAATATAATAGGTGCTATAGGAGAGGTACAAAGTGCTATCCAGTAGTAGATACTTAATAAAGACTTGTTGATTGGAACTATGGAAGTGGTGACATTTATGCCAGGACTTGAGAAATGGGCAGGTTTTTGCTTACGGATGTTAAAAAAAAACTCCTGAAAGTTGTGTGAGTAAAATTGTGGAGAAAAGAAAGATATGTTCAAATCATGTCCAGTAATACAGTTTGAGTGGAGTGAGGGAGTATGATTTGAGATATGCCAGGAAAGGTAAATTTGGAAGGTAAATGCCGGGAAAGGTAAATTCTAGGAGGGCCTTGAATACTATGTAAAATGTTTGGCTTTCATTCAGTGGAGAACTGTTAAAAATATTTGAGCAATATTTTCCTGTTTGAGCTTTATATTCCCCAATCCACCTCCTCTTTCAAATTTCCCTATTACTGTCAAGGGTATCATAATTTTTCTAGTCACCCAACTTCACAACCATTGTATAATCCTTGGCTCCTCACTTTCACTCACCTGACATATCCAATCCCAGTTGTCAAGTCTTGTTTTTAATCTCCACAACATTTCTCTCTGTGCTTGTCTGTTCTTATCTATCAGGCTTTACCTCCCTTAGGTGGTATCTTCTCATAGGTTTCCTCTATAGTGGCAGTATGAGGTATTCAGCACCTCTGCTGTGAGGGCTTGCCATGCCCTTTTCAGGGCTGCTCATTCACCTCTGGTGTTCCCCTTCACCCAAGTCTCACCTGTGGCTCCAAGAAGCTGTAGCATTTACAGTGATCACACAGTACAACTGTCTCAGCAGATGGGCTAAACCAGATTGAGGGTAACCACAGGCCTTAAACCTGTTGGTGAGTTAGGGGGATGGTTCCCCTGGTGGAATGGGTGGATGAGAACAATTTATTCCAATGGCTATGAAGACGGTGGCAGCAGGCACTGTGGAGCACCTAGAACTTGGTCAGACATCTAAGACACCACTGGCCTTGGATGACAATGGAAGAGAGAGTGTGGCTGATGACTTTTTGCAACTCTGCTTCACTTAAATCCAAATCACATGCAAGGCAACACCACCCTGTGGTGTTATTGATCCTCTTCAACATGAAGGGACAGATAGCATAGTGGAAGCAGTAGACTTCCAGCACCTGTAGTGCGCCACGTGTAGGTTGTACTTTGAGACTTAGTACACTATAGCTGTGTCTTCAGATCTGGGTCTGCATTTGTTCAATGGGTCTTGTACCATAGGAGAAGGTTTTATTGTATATATATTAATAGTCTATAAACTGTGGAACTGGAAGTCCTTTCCAATGATAAAGATCACAATCCTCCTGTGTCTGCCCATCCTGTGTGACTCTTGACCCTTGTTCTTGTTAAAGTTCATCACCCAATGTGTTGAAAGACTTCCTTAGTATTGCCTGACAGTTTGAAGGTACCATTGAAGTTCTCTAGGTGACTACCTATCATTTCTTACCCTCACCACATAATAAGCTCATCTTTTCTTCTTATCATAGGATTGCCTGAAGACATCTTTTATTCCTCTCCTTTGAAGTTCCTTATTGGTTATATATCACATCTTCCATATGACTTTCCATTGCTTGTATGATATTAATTTTTGTTTTTTTTGGAGACCAAGTCTTCTTATGTGGTGAAGGAGATCTAGTTCAGAGTTCAAATTGAAGAGGAACTCCCTGTGGGTGACAAGGTGCTTTAGATATTCCTGTTTGTTGATGACATTGTGCAGATTGTATTAAACTGTAGAATATTACAGAATATGCTGGAAGAGATCTGTAACTACTTAAAGGAGTCGGGCCTGAGCATCTA